AGGTTTTGTCCGATAAGATTTGTCACTGTTTTGTATAGTTTTAGGCGAAGTATACATCGATATGTTTGGCATCGTTGTCAAAACTTTCGACGCTGTGTGCAGCCTAGGTTTAATTTCTTTTTCAAGCTTGTTTTCTTCGTTGAACATTTTCCTGTTTCAGTACGTCGGTACTACTGCTTCGGTCATCATCACGATGTCCAAGAGAATCTTCTGGAACAAGGAATAGGAGTAAGTAATATCCTGAATGCTTAAGAAATTTATATACCAGCGTTATAGCAACAGGGAAGAACTTGCTTTGAATATTGCGTAACTTTATACAGCAGAGCTTCTGTAGTTGAACGATCAGTAATCTCTAAGCCAGTATGACTGAAGTACGAGCTTAAACAATTATTCAGACGGCACTGTATGGAAGCGGCAAACGAAAGGTGGTATTTCTTCTATATACAATTGACAACATTGCTTTTCTAGGTGTATCGTAATACCGTCATCTGCACCGACTGGGAATGCACTTTCGACCGCCCTGAATATTGGAAGCCCCCTGCTCCATTGCTTTCTGTGACGGTGGATTAATGGTGGAGACAATCGCAATATTTCCAACCCACCTAATCATTATAACGTCACCAATTCGACACCTGTGCAATCATGACTAACTGCAGTATCTTTTTTCTTATTTCGATAATATTTTGCTGTTAGGCTATATCACATGTGGATTTGATCCATTGCGTACTTGTATAAATGCTAATTCTTGATAAAGTGACGTCTATTCATGATCTAATTATGGCTAAAGGGATCATTAAAAAAAGTAGGAACTCGACAAATTAAGATTTTCTTGTTTAACTAGTTTTCATTGGAAAATATATCTACTAGATATCTCAAATATCTCAATTAAGTGACCAGCTACTAATCCATGAAAGATGATTAAATAGTGAATACAACTGTTAGGAACGACTTTGTTTCTTTCGGCGGATTCTTACCGTCTGAGACGATCATGAATTACTCCATCGTGGAAGCGCATTTTTCTTCATGCCTAGGCAAATCAACAAAATACCTAGTGTTCTCATTCACCAAAGCACCTAACACCGGAGGAGGTGCTTGTTCTCGTGAAGATAATTGAAATGTCATCTTTTTTTTTTCGTAGTAGTCACAAGTTCAATGAGAAGTTCATTTGTATATAATGATGATACAGATTTAAACGCACGAAGTCTATACTACCAAGATTGACAATTACTCGAGATGCATAGCTTGAGATGGTCAAGGGTTATAGAGCAGACTTCCCTTTATGCCCTATAGGGTAACCTGCGGATAGTCCTTAGTACGTCTCTAATTACGCTGCGCTGCATGCTGCAATCTAAAATGATTGGAAGTTGGGAGCATCAAACTTCAAGTTCAAATTGTAGATTAGAAGCTCAAGCATAGCTTTAAAAATAACTCGTTAATGATTTGCATTTCTTTGTAAAACCTTGGCTCAAGAGATATGTGAGATTTCTTTCCA